AACCGTCTTTGTCTTGGGGCTGCGAGCATGTTCAAGGAACGTTAAGTGAGAACATGACTGCTGACACCACTGACTAACAATCACTGCATCATGGAGGCGAAAGCTTCCATTGGTGCAATTTTTGGAGCTTTTCTTCACGAAAAGAAAAAATATAATAAGTAAATAAATGTAATAGAAAATCTCAATCGCCATTGTCTTCGCATAACAAAATCAAACTATCAGGCAACATATCATACTGTACAGACGTAGATGTAATTCAGCTACGTTCAAAATTATTAGTAACTGAAAAAGTGAAGTTCTTTTGATGCAAAAAACATGATATATTCTAGTTACATTGTAAATGTATACAGAATTGATTTAATCATAATGTAATTTCTAGACTTTCAAACGCTATCATTCAACACAGACCTGAATAGTTTATTACTAGTTATTTCACTCAATATTTATGTTTTTAATCATTCCCGGACGCAATATAATCTTTGCTCAACTTTGTTCTGGCCATGAAATTTGATTGACTGAATAAATGCAACAAAAGAGTCAATAAATGTTACAATGTTGATAAGAAATAGTGAGAAAATAGTAATTTATTTATGTGGTTGTAGAGAATAGTGATCAATAGGACTAATCAGTCCCAAGTTATTCTCTATCATGAAACCTATCGACTTAATTGACTAACATTAATGCCAATATGGCGAGACCTTCATTTCCTGTATCCGCTCGTCGACTACTGAAATAGAAAAAAACAACTACATCCTATATGTTTTTGTATATATTTATTTACACAATATATTAGACAAATATATCAGCTTTAGATTTTTACATCGTCAAACTGTCTTTAGAACCCCGATTTCCGAACTTTTTGAACTCATTATAGCGCCCTCTTTCTACGCCTATACGCTCAAGGTACCCACTCGCCAACCATAAGCAAAGTTAACTCTCTTTATGATAATTTGACTTCAACTGTCTGTATATGCTTACTTGGATAATTTGACTTCAACTGTCTATATATGAGAACTTGACTACAACTGTCTGTATATGAGAACTTGACTACAACTGTCTATATATGAGAACTTGTTACAACTGTCTATATATGAGAACTTGACTACAACTGGCTGTATATGAGGACTTGACTACAACTGTCTATATATGAGAACTTGACTACAACTGGCTGTATATGAGAACTTGACTACAACACTCTATATATGAGAACTTGACTACAACTGTCTATATATGAGAACTTGTTACAACTGTCTATATATGAGAACTTTACTTCAACTGTCTGTATAGGAGAACTTGATTACAACTGTCTGTATATGAGAACTTGACTACAACTGGCTGTATATGAGAACTTGTTACAACTGTCTATATATGAGAACTTGACTACAACTGGCTGTACACGAGAACTTGACTACAACTGTCTATATATGAGAACTTGGTACAACTGTCTATATATGAGAACTTGACTTCAACTGTCTGTATATGAGAACTTGACTACAACTGTCTATATATGAGAACTTGACTACAACTGGCTGTATACGAGAACTTGACTACAACTGTCTATATATGAGAACTTGATACAACTGTCTATATATGAGAACTTGACTTCAACTGTCTGTATATGAGAACTTGACTACAACTGTCTATATATGAGAACTTGTTACAACTGTCTATATATGAGAACTTGACTTCAACTGTCTATATATGAGAACTTGACTACAACTGGCTGTATATGAGAACTTGACTACAACTGTCTATATATGAGAACTTGACTACAACTGTCTGTATATGAGAACTTGACTTCAACTGTCTGTATATGAGAACTTGACTACAACTGTCTATATATGAGAACTTGTTACAACTGTCTATATATGAGAACTTGACTACAACTGTTTGTATATGAGAACATGACTTCAACTCTAAATATACAATATGATAAAAATACAATTATGCATATGTACATGAATAAGACATTTCATGTTGAACAGTCTAAACTGTCTCACTATAAATAATAACAGGCCCCAGTATAGCTTCCCAAATGGGAGTTGTTATAATAAGACAATGAATAACTGGATAACATGAAATTCATTCTAGAAGTGATAAAAACAGACAGACTTCTTGTATTTTAATTAATAAGTAGATATTTCTATTTCGGAATTTATTTGGCTTTTAAAGTGGATCACGTTCTGTATAGAATTATCTATTACGAAGATAAATATATCTTTTAATCTTGTCGAGCAATATGTAAGAAATCCTGAATTAGATTTTCCATTCGTCATAACTTTCAAGTGAATATTAAACATGGCACCACGTATTGTCAAAACTAGTTTGTTGATACGATGTTTAAGGGGGGCAGATATAAATTATCGTCGTCGCTATTGTTACTAAATTACTATAGGTGCATGTAAAGCATCGGGCAAAATAGGGCCTACTGTCTTCCAGAACTTTTCAATTTACACTTTGAAAGCAGTTTCGATATGTGATGAATCAGGTCATGGAATTTCAGGAACCGCAGACGCCGGACCTGACATCACAATGGTTCATACTATAAATACTATACTATATCTTCATAATAATGCACCCGGAAGGTCCCTCGACAATGGATAATCGAAAATGAGTAGGCTAATGCTGCTGTTCTGTCAAACGTTCTTCTTTTTTCAATCCAATAAGGTTGGGAAAAGCGTTAAAAATCCATTTTATTCCAATTCTACATATGAATTGGATATGACAAATCACTATACAGACATGGCATGTTCATTCATTTTAAACAAGAAAGAGTCTCTGTTAACGAAGGTTCCGCCTTTAATTGCGTGTCGTCTGTTCCATGAAATTGACGTCATCGACGAACATTTATATACCGTATTTCTCATTTATTTCAAATGATTAGACTTAAGGTTTCTCTTTAGATGATTTGTGTGAAATCTAAAACGAACAATAAGACTCACATGGAGTATGCTTTATGTAATGAGTAAAACTTTAAATGTCATTCATAATGTGGGACCATAAAAACGACTAAGATGTGATAGAGTTTCTATACAAAACGAAATGAGATAAAACAAAATGAAAGCTGTAGAGCTGTTTCTGTAGAAATGGGAGAATGAATGGCATAATATCCTATTTACAAGGAATAATAGTAGTTGGAAATTATCTAAATGAAAATGACACAATAAAGATCCTTTTACATTGACATTGCGAGTATATACGTGTGTTCTTTTCGCGGATTCCTATCACACCCATGGGATCCAATGGTATTAGATATATCCATTAGTGTTAAATATGTCCGGATCGCAAAACCAGATTCTTTGTACATTATATTATACAACAGTGACTTAATTTTTCAGTTATATAGGTTTAATTTATTTTCCAGTTTAATTGAATTCCTTTGAAATCATGCTAATTTCACCCAAATTTATCACCACGCACCACTACGTATCACAAATGATTTCATGATCCGTTAGATTCTGGTTGACATTGAGCAATTGTACGATATATAGTTTTATGGAACAACAATTAATGGTTAAAGTTTTGTGAATGTTTTCGACGTTTTTTTTTTCATTCATGGTTCCACGAATTTTATGATGAAAACGAATCCGTTCTACCCATATATGTCTATTTGCTGTTGAAAGTGGAAATAGTCTTAACATTACCTTTATAGAAAATATGTTAAGAAGAAGGTGCTAATTATGCTACCATGCTGTCTTTGCTTACTTTAATCACCAACTTCAATTATTGTACATCAAGACTTCCTTGTGAACAATTTACCTTCTCCTTAAGAACATAATTAGCTCTTACAGGAAACGCAAAGATTGATTTTATGCTCTACGACACGTCTTGTTTTCAGCATTATCATTGGTTCACAGGACTTCAACCTTAGAATTTACTATTTATTTACTATTCTTGCTATTGAATATGGAGTTTTACGTCTTACTTTTCGAAAGACTATATCATTCAGCGCCTTCAACGTCAACATGCATAGGTTGAAAACCTGATTGAAATAATATTTTTGCTGTTTTTTGTTTTGCCCGAATCGAACCCCGGACTGCAAGGATAGCGATCAAGGTCTAATTTCAGAGGAGGTAATCAAGAATGGAGATTTGAACTCAATTTACGATTGGCAGTTAATCCGATAGCTTATTAGTTTGTAACAGGATTAACGCTTTCATCTCAACCTTCATAGTCTATAGATATACACGTATCAGCACGGTAGACCATCAGAAGAACAAAAACTGTGTTGAAATTTGCTCCAATTTACCTCGTGAGTGGCTGCAAAAAATCAAAATCAAAAAGGCCATAAGTACACACCAAAGAGCGGCAGTCTATTTTAATCAAAACATGTAGATGTGTTTTCCTGAATTGATCGACCTTGATTTTACTGATCAATTTTGAGTGATGGAGACAATAAATAAAAGATAATAAAATCCACGTTTAATTATCATAGAACGGAAAGCAGGTAGAAATTTGCTGATTTTTTCCGTAAACAATGTGACGATAAGGAGATTTATATGAATTGTCTATTTATAGTGGAGTTGAAGCTATAAGGTATTATTGATTGATAGAGGATTCAATGTGAGGCGAATTACTGGAACTTCGTGTTCAACACCAGTATCACGATAGCCTATAATCAAACTCAAATTATATGCTAGTTTTTAGTACTTTGTGATACTTTTGTGAAACGATGATAGGTCTATAAAGTTAGATTAATTGCTATTCAAAAGGACAGCGGAAACTTACTTAATTACTTCGTGACAACTTATTTAATGACTTTTTCAACCGAAAGAGTTCGTGTAAAATGTTGTGAAAATCTCCAAAATTGAACAAATCTGCACAAGGAATTATATCAGATTTATATCATGTCAACTCCTAAAGACACCAGTGAAACTGTTCCCATCAAAAGACCAGATGGCATGGAAATGGAGAGACTACCAATTCCAAATCAAAATGGAGAACTGATCACGGACGTGGAATCCTTAGCAGCTTCGCCACCCGGATCTTATGGTAGTACGATGGACATTGGTCCTGGTGCATCAACAGCTAATCTTTTGAGGATTGATTTGGATAAAAAGATCAGTCGACATACTGGTGAAGGTGCTGAACAAAGAGAAACTTGGGATAATCGAGCACAATTTATTCTATCATTAGTGGGCTATGCTGTGGGATTAGGAAATGTTTGGAGATTCCCATATTTAACACAGAAAAATGGCGGTGGTAAGCTGACATATTTATTACATACCAATAGGACGATGAATCTACTGGTGGGCAAGTTTGTTCCCCAATGTCAAGCTATTAGCTTGAGCTTTTGAGTCATAGACTTGGTTCAATGTAGGCTAATAATAGCACTGTGGCGGGTGGTGCGAGCGAGGCAGGGTATGCTATGCTCTTCCCCGGACGGAACCTCTATTGCCAACCAAATAAAAATTTATCTTCTGATAAAAAAAAAAATCTGGGCATGTTTTAAAATAGCTTTGTTTTATAAATCGTAAAACAACATAAAACCACGATGCATTAATGCGGTATGGTATTTTCATCACTAAATTGGGTTCAATCACCTTAATCTAATACCCCATCCCATTCTTTCTGCTTCTGTTTTTTAAAGCAAAATTTTCAAATACCCATGGCATACTACGCCGATGATTTGAAAATAGACTACACCAGGTATTCATACACGATCTTTATCTTGAAATTGTCTATATTTACCTATGATATTGCAGTCTGTCTTTTGGCGTCAGCTTGCCTACTTGTCATTCAAGTTTTACACCCCCACCTGATTTTTTGCTAATGAACAATGGTTGAACGCTTATGAAAGCATGATTATGTGCAATGCAAGTAAAGAATACACTTTTTTGACATCACTGCTGAAGTAGTTCGATTTATGCCATTGCAGCTTATCTTGGATGTTCTAAACAATCAACTTCGGCAGTTACTATTTGTTGCGTTTTCAGGCTTCTCGATATCATATATAGTGAAGGTTTATCATACAAATATATGATATACTCTAAATATTCAAAAAACCAATTACATGTTTTTTTGAAAATTTACATGGTAATTTATGCTTTATTGCATGAATAAAAATTTAATGAAACATTGCATTGTTGAAATTATACTTCGAAACAGGTGTTTGTATATTTATTATTTAGATTTATATATTAATTGAAAACAAAATATTTCAGGCAACACTTGTTTGCTTTCCTGAGACTCTTCTATTATTGTTAGCTTATAGATCTAGTCATTTCAAATTCTTATGTAACTAGATCTATTTTCTTGTGATAAATTTCCAACTTTTATTCTGAACATAAGGCATCTAAAAATTATGGGTTGCATTCTATGGACTATTCCTTATGGTGACGAGCTGTAACTAGAAAGCAATCATTTTATAGTTCAGTTATTATCTGAAGATTTTTCTAAGATGGAAATCACAATTGGAGTTGCGTTATTATTTCTTTAAGTCATCGAAAAAATCAATAGTCATGCCATTAGTATTATTGTTTTAATATGGTTATAATTTGTTGAAAGGGCTAGAAGCATTTGAAACGATAAAACAAAGCTTTTTATTTGTTATCTATAAATGTTCAACCTATTTCCCTTTTATCTTATAACAATGAAACTAAATAGCGATATTCATAGGAAAAACAGAATAAAAATTTAATAGCATAGTTCAAAAATAGAATATCGATTTATTTTACAGCATCCACCATGCAAGGCAAAATGCTATCTATAGATGGCTTTCTTGTTTTTCTTTATCGCCTTTGGTTCAGTGAGTCGTTTCTGGTATGCTCTGATGGATCCCAATGTTTGTCTAAAAGTTACTTCACTTTTACCCATAAATGTTCAGATAGTTGAAATGGAAAGTAAAAGACGGTTAAATTGAACAATATTCCGGATCTAATTTGGTGCATTGTCTGGACGAAACTGACCATTGTCCTACTCAAATGCCTCTGATAATGCACTACGATGCAGGATTCACAATCCTCTTACGGAGCCGATCAGTGCAATGTAAAACCTTTTTAACTTTTCTCGTGTACCATCAAACCTAAATAAGTGTAAAATTGGGGGCAATCCATTTTTTGGATAGTAACGAGTCTAATGACTTCAGTGCATTAGATCTGAGGATTGGTTACCTGCAACTGATCTACTAATCTCTGAACAGAAAGTGAATAACGAAAGATCTGTTTATAATACTTAAAATAAATTTGGGCTTTTTCTTTCTTCTGACAACAATGCTACAAAAGGCGGATATCTGACTCGACTCATTATAACTAGATTTTTAGTGAAAATAAGACATAAATCAACATATTGAAAAATAACCCTTTTCCCATTTCACAGCCAGCTGTGATGCAATTTGTTTCCAAAACATTTGTGGAAACGTAATTTCCGCTTTTGTCATCGTATAAACAAACCTATATATCAGTCTACCACTTTGAAGCTTTTCAACCAATCTACCTTCTTTCATGATTATACCACTACAAACTTAATTACATGTGTTTGTTTACCTCAATCAACGAAGCTTTTTCCTGTTTTATCCAGGAAACTACTGAATGATTAATATAAAATAAACTGAATAATTATATTGTTATACATTCATAAACAGTAAAGAGCCATTATTATCCCTTTGAGATTTCGAAAAGAGCAATGTTTAGTACGAATAGGTTGGTCGTTGATTCATAGTTTTGTTTTAAGAAGTGTTTTATGAATTTAATGAACAAGAGCTTTTGGAATCACTGAACTGGGTTGGGGGTTTGGTTCTTTTGGCCAGATAGAATAACGATTTGCACCCCAGTTATTCCCCAACTTCTATTTGAACAAATTAGAAATTTTTGTCAGGATGCACCAAATCATTTCAATTTTGCAAAAATTCTCGAGAGAACCCTCTCAGACGCTCCATAAGATTCCTTACGATTATGACGCCTCCGCCTGGAGTTGTTGCATTTTTAATTCAGCCATTGTGTTGCAATTTTATTGTATGGTATTGTTAATAGAAATGCATTTTCAAATTAAAATTATCTCCCTTGGAAGATGAACATTTACATTCATTTGATTAGCAACAGAGTGATCCACACTTTCTAAATCTGGGTAGAACTTCCTTTTTCTTGCTCAACTACAAATTAGATTTATTTTAGTTTACTTTCTATGTCGCCCTACTGTTGTCCCTGCCATAATCGTCCTTGATTTTCTTAACGTTAATGGAATTGGATATTGGAATAATGGTTGGAACGCAATCCTATTATCATTGCTACACTCTTAATTATACTCATTCCCTGAGAAGTTTCCCTTACAGTGTGTCTGGTCTGTATTGATACTGAGATGGTATTGTAAGAATATTACGTTAAAACATAATTATCTACCGCTGATATTAGATTGGGTATCGAGGATAAGGATGATTAAATCGAGAAAGACAAGCCTCGGGTTTACATTCCTTGACTGACACAATATTCAATAATTGACAACTGTATAATGTCCAACTATATTAAATGCAGTTAATATCAGATCGTGTGTACATGATATATTTTCAGATCGTGATTGCTGTCTAAATTCAGTTATAATTGGAACTTGCAACACATGAGATCATATTAAAATGTTATTAAATGGTGAATACATTTTGCAATTTTCTGACAATTTTGATGTTTTTGAGATCATATTCCTTTTTTAGATATAATATAATTATAACGAACCTGAGTAAGCTTAACTACATTAATTGCTAAATGTCAAATGTTATCTCTTGTGTTTAAATATCAAATTTAACAATTAGGAAGTGATTTGAAATAGCACTAGCAGTGGAAAACAAAATAAGCATGACTAAATACTAACAAATGTCAGGGTTCCGATATATCATTCTTAAAAATAATAGTAGTAGTGGAGCGTAATCATATATCATTTTCTGAAATGAAAGTAATAATAATGATAATAGTAATAATAATGATAATAGTAATAATAATGATAATAGTAATAATAATAATAATGATAATAGTAATAATAATAGTAATAATGATAATGATCATAATAATAATATTAATGATAATAATAATGATAATAATAATAAAATTAATGATAATAATAATAATAGTAATAATGATACTGATAATAAAATTAATGATAATAATAATAAAATTAATGATAATAATAATAATGATAGTAGTAATAATGATAATAGTAATAATAATAATAATAGTAATAATGATAATAGTAATAATAATGATAATAGTAATAATGATAATAGTAATAATAATAATACGATAATAATAACTGTTTATTTTATTTGGAACAAAACAGTATGAAATATAAAGAAATTTTATCAAAATATACACAAGTACATTGTGTTATAAGATAGACAGATTATGTTACTGTGATCAAGATGTACAGGCTTCCAGTCTGAATAAGTTGTTACATAATACTTTAGATATACAATATCTCTAGACTATCAGTCAGTCTTCATTATCTCTAAATATACTGCCAACAACAGCGTAATATATGACATTCGTTACGTGTCAAGTAATATGATCTACTGTTGATCATCGCATCATCGGCTCTCAATATTGATGATCTTCGATCTACTCAATACCACTCAATACATAATCACATGTTGGTGGCATTTTAATGATCTTTACTTCTTGATTAAAGAACAAGAAATCCAAAATAGTCACGACTTGAAATTTGTAATTGAATTGGGGGTAATTATGTGTATTATTCTTGTATAAACTACGTTTACGGCGTTTCTCCTCCAATTCTTTTCATCGGTTAACATAAACCTCTGGTAGCGATAGAAATTAATGTCATAATCGATGTATTTCATTTATATTTTGTATTGGAAGGGCCACTCCAAAATGTTTTTGAAAATAAAGGGCTCAAATCATTATTCTATGCATTTCAGAGGCTTTCTTCCTCTATCAAATAAACAAAATTTTCCTTCTTCCATTTTGCCTTTTAATTTTTCTCCATTTTCTTCCTTTTTGGGGGAATTTTGGAGGAGGTCATGGCCCCCTTGGTACACACTTTGGAGCCTCCAATGAGTGCAGATATTATCACAGATCAGTTGTTCCCAGGCTGTTACCTTATTCATATATTCATTAATACTGTTAAAGGTGGCGAAGTGGACTAAAGAAAAGGGGGTGGAGGTCTCCTATTGATTTGATTATAACCGGTTTTTAAATCCACAACTCGAACAGTATTGATCTGTGCATCGTCTGATTTACTAACAAGGTTACTAAACATGTCATCAAAGGGAGACATTTATACTGTAAACATCGTTGTGATCTACACATAAACTGAATGGCGTGGCCTTTTTTCTCACAATACCTTGTGGAAAGCTGTTAGGGATCCGTTAGGATTTGCGTCATTGATACAGCGTGATTCCATCACCTGAGTGTAAATGATAATGATTAGCATGTAAATATTTAAGGGTAATTGAACCAATGTAGCTGAGGGTAAAAGAGAATATTGCCATACTTGCTGACAATTAAATACTCTGGTCGTTGACTTTGCCTAAAGGCAATGATTTAATTAATTGGTAGCGACTTGTTGTGGAAACGACACTAATGGCAAAGCTAAATCCTATAACTTTTTTCAGTGTTGTTGTAGAAACACATAAATATCAATCATTAGTCCTAGAAGGAGAAAGACTCCAAGCATGTATGATAAATATTTGGACAGTCGGATATGTCATGATTTTTATTTAACATAGATAATATCCATAGATATTTTAAATCTCGGAAAAGGTCAATGACTGAATATATATAATATAAAATGATATATATGACAGTTCGCATCTGCTCTTCCAATGATAACCTCATCTCAATCTACCATAGACTATACATCCTAAATAATTCCGTTTGATTTCTGGTATAATATTAGAGATTTTTTATGTGTTTGTACTGGTGCAAACAAGGCATTTGTACTCTAAAATGTATATAAGTAGACTAGACATTATAATTAAATAAATATGCATCCTAAAAGGTCGTGTATAGAAATAGAATAGAAACTTTAAAATAATCTAAATGAATCCTGTTAGGAAAATGTATCTTGACCAGTGTATTTATTATAAAAATGAATAAGTATTAATTTTCAAGGGATTTTTATTATTTTTTTTTTATTTTCAGGTGCTTTTTTAATTCCCTATGCAGTTATGTTGGCAGTGGAAGGAATTCCGTTATTTTACCTGGAATTGGCTATTGGCCAAAGACTTAGAAAAGGTGCTTATGGTGCCTGGAATCAGGTGTCGCCATATTTAGGAGGAATAGGAATTGCATCATCTATTGTTTCATTCAACGTAGCTCTGTATTATAATACCATCATGGCCTGGTGTTTAGTGTATCTTGTACAAAGTTTCCAAAGTCCCTTACCATGGGCAAGCTGTCCACATGATCTCGGCATAAATGATTCCTATATCATTGTACCAGAGTGTGAGGTAAGATGTTTCATAAACGTTCCGACTATCTATAGCAATGAGACAGAATCCGATGACTGGTTATTCTCCAGTAATACCTTCAAGGACCATTGACACCTGCTTAATGATGAGTCTGATCTATTATGAGTCTGACACTAGCAGGATCTGTCATATTGGCTAAAAGATTAGTGCTTTCAAGTACATGAATACTCTCAATGGTCTACAAAGAGTCTGATTCTCCTAAATTATCCTCTTCTGATGTCTATGATTGCATGATATTACAAAATGGTTATTTTATGTGTGGTATCGTCCCAAAATCGCAAGGACTGTCCAGTCTTTGGATTTTGAATAGATGAAAAAAGGCCCACTCATTTTAAAGTACATGCATATGCTTTGATTTTTCACAGAAGCATACTGATGTAGATAACAGAGCTCCAGGCTTAGCTTTCTGTTTGCTCGTTCTCAAACATAAATTATTAACATGAATAAAAATGCCACGCCACAGTTATCTTTATAACACACTTAATCTGTACAGACTAATGTATTTAATTTTAGCTTATCTAATTAGTTATATTAATCTTATTTTGTAAGAAAAGCAGCCCTCCGAGTTATTTCTGGTATCGAGATACTCTGCAGACTGCTGACTCAGTTGAATCGACACCGTATCTCAACTGGAAGATTGTGGTTGGTTTAATTGGTGCATGGATAATAGTCTATTTATGTATGATTAAAGGCATCAAATCTTCAGGGAAAGTAAGTGAGTCTTCTGCCATGGCAGCTTAATTAAAATTAAACCACACTTTTTCCGTTTTTTTATTAGCTTTTATTTTTAATGTAGCCATTTCAGTTATGGTCATATTGAACATTATAATTAACATTTTGACGGACGTTCAAGAGGGTTGTCGTTAGTTAGACCCTTTCTGGAGTGGTTATATTAGAAATAAAAAAACGGAACGAATGTTTGGCCATTTTATTTAGACTGCTGGTTAGTGAAATGGTTTGGGGTCGACGCTTTCTAAGGATCTAAGGATTCAAACCTATAGAAACCAATAACTCAGCAGACAGTTATTGACTTGGTTGTCCAATTGTCCAATTTTACGAGCTTGATATAAATGATTTGAGTTTACTCGCTTTTTTGTTTTAAGGACTGTGACAAAGGCAAGATGGCGACTGACTTGTATAGCCTTATTGGACGTATCCATTATACTATATTTATCCTAATGGATTCACGTCTCATAATAAGCTGTTAACTTTCAGCCTTACCTTCCATATATAGCTTACATTAATATAGCTTATATTTATTATATTGGCTGATGTAACCGTATTAATACCCAGAGTAAGAGGCTCTAATGTTATGTGTAGATAGATAATTACAAGTACATTCAATCTCCCATAAGTAAACCGGCATATATTCTTAATACAAGAAAAAGCATTGATCGGTCGATGCATATTTGGGCTTAAGAGAAGAAAAATATCCGCTATAAACGTTTGCAAAATAATACAAATTTTATCATGAATCTTTTTACCGTAACTGCTTTGACATAAATTTCTACATCATTTTAAGAGTTTCATTTCCAAGGCAATACCTAAAGATAGTGCCATTTTTGTGGTAGAACAAACACTTATTTTGTGCTAGATATGAAGACTGGTTATTGGCATTTTTATCACTTTTAGCCAGTTTTAATATTACTATATGAATGTTGACTCAAGCCCTATTTTTTCTATGAAGAATTATATGAATTCGCCAGATATTCTCAAGACCGCCAACAAAAAGTCAATCTATTAAGAAAAAGAAATGATAATTCGACCATTGTCATAATGTTTTCCTTGGAGTTTGAAAAGTGTATGTATTATCTGCTTGCTCAACCACTTCCACTGACAAGATGCATCATTTTAGAGACAGTAAGCGTCACATACTCATGAATCAGACAGACTGTTGTTAGGTGTCATCGTTTAAAACCTGATTTTCACCATCCTGTGTCAGAGTTCTTTCCTGTTTCGGACATAATAAAAAAAAATCAAAATTTGAAATAGTTTCATTGACTTATTCGTTGAGCACCAGACAGTAAACAATCCATTAACTAGCTATTTAATGGGAAACGTTTTACATGCTAGATTTCATTCTATTAGTTAAATTGAAATTGGCGTAAAAACAGCCATACATATCAAAGAACATGTACGGACGTAAGGTTTTAAGCAACGAGTGCAGCTCTTTAGAAAGTTAAGGTATCCTTATTAAAATGATTAACAAATGATAGAACCATATTTTGCAACCACTGACTCTACTACGTTTTTTTAATTAGTAAAAGAAAAAGGGGAATGCGTTTGAAATAAAAAAGACTATACCAAAAGCTAAAATTTCGTATTTCATCTGTTTGGAATAAGCAAGTTTATATTTTTTCCAAGTTTAAATTTAAGCGCTATGGCATTTTATTTTGCGAAATAAAATGATACCTTTTATCATCCAATATTTCATTTGATTAGCCAAAATTAACATTTAGCGCAAAGATCAGCGAATCAAATATAAATGAACAATTTTCGCGAGAATTTACTGCCAAAGCTAAAAATATACGGTAAATCTCGAAGGCCTCTATAACCTTAAGAAACTATTGTCATTGGCAAGATCAATCAAAAAAGTGGAATATTTTAAATTGCTACCGAATTGTTATGAAATTAAAATCAAAATTTAACTTGATCAGCCAAAACTCATGTGATAAATTGCTTATCCAATTTTTTCAATCTAAATTGAACCTTGGTATATTCGATATAGCGTGACTAGACTGTTCGCATATAGAAACTACTCCGGAAAATGACCTTTGTCTTGCATGTAAAGACAAAATACTTTAAGAGTTAAAAGTTGGATAAGAGCCAACTTGTCAAACTTATCTTGACTACCATTCTTAACTCTTGGAAACCTTTGATTTGTCAGATAAAAATTGTCTTCGTTGGTTATTTTACGCTAGTTTTGTGGCAGTGCTGCTCAATCAATGACATGCAATAATTTATCTCAAACAAAATGCCCCAGAAAAAATATAAAAATTGACGGAGGTGATTATCTTTCTGACAAGCACATCATTTGCTGGTTAGTACATCATATTATTTTATTATCAATTTACTGTTTTAAACTTTTAACAAGCATGTCAGTTTTATAAGCTCGCGACGATTGCCAAGCTACAATTAGTTGTGTATTCGAAAGAATATCTCTACCAACGAACCAGTGCCTTTATTTCGCTTTCCAGTACAAAATCCACAGTGAAAACAAAAAACAAAGGCATCACACTCATATATTGAACATAGAATATGACCTTCTTTTTTCAGGTTGTGTACGTTACAGCCACGTTTCCCTACATCGTTTTGGTGGTTTTCTTCTTTCGTGGTGTTACACTACGTGGAATGGAGAAAGGTATAGAACATTTATTCGTACCAGAGGTAGGTCCTTTACGCTTATTGTCTTATTCCACTTACCATTTCAAATACCATAGGTCAGAATTGAATATATATCCATTCACAAGTATTGATTTTGAAGACGAAAGTCAACAAATGATTTGAATAAACGCGGCGGTTAAGAAACTTGAAACATAAATAGAAGGAAAGTTGCCACAGTGTCTCCTACTAGCTTGAATTATTGCATTACCGATGTCAAAAACTCTGTTATAAAGTATATATGTCTTTGTTGAGGATTTTCGGGTTTTTCCTCATTTTTTTGGACAGAAGAATGTATTTTTGGTAACTTATTATGTAACAATATTGACAATTTTACATTCTCATCAAGTTGATATCGCCTAAGAGTCTTTAATTTTCTTGAAATAATGAGATCTCATGACAAAAACATCTGTTAGTTGTAATTGGTAGGCTAGTTGTCAAGTCAACTAGACGACGAGCAACTGGTTCTGGACAGCAGAATCTATTTACGTTCTAAAATTGGTTGTTAGAAATCTGTCTGGAGCTGCTAGAAAATACAAATTTAGCAACATGCATCTTAGGGGCATACATGATAAATTTCTTTAATTGTCTGATAGCCAAGGTAGAGCAGTAACCTCGTGGTTATTATTATGCCAAATTGTACTGTTACCTCCAAGCAAGGCACAGATCAGCTACATGGTATAGATGAACCTCACGGTAAAAGTCTGCCATAATGAATCTAATTTACACGCTATATTATGATCAGTCACTCGATAATGATTTGATCAGATCAAATCGTACGATAATGATCAATCACGCGATAATGATTTGATCAGAAGATAACTTCAAACCTTACGAAGAGGATCAGTCACGCGATTGTGATACGTTCAGATGCTAGCGAAAACTGTACAATAATGATCAGTCACAGGATAATGATTTGATCAAATGATAACGACGACTGTTCGATAATTGATCAGCCAAACTTTTCAAGAATGATCAGACATACGACAATGATTTAATCGAAATACTTCAAAGCACAGGATGATGATCAGCTCCATGCCATTCCTGTCTATTTTGCTTGAAGTGTTTCATTTAAGAACCCAGCTAGTGAGATCTTTACAGTAATTTGGATCAACACCTTGAATGCGGTTTGTCAAAACATGAATGTCAAATAATATCAGTTTTTAAGAGGAAAGTCCACATTAGCAATGATATTTATTTGGTATACATATATATTTAACTTCTACCGATAAGCCACATAGTGATGATTAACCACGTGTTATATTCAAATTTTCAGTGGAATAAGCTGTTTGATCCTGCAGTTTGGTTAGATGCTGCAACACAGATATTTTACAGTTTTGGTTTAGCATTTGGTTGTCTATAGCTTTAGCATCTTATAACCCAGTTCGTAGTAATTTTCTAAAAGAAACACTGTTAGTGACGGTGTGTGATTTCTTTACTTCAATTTTCACTGCAGTGGTTGTTTTTTCCATATTAGGTATGTATATTTTCTATGTATATATTTGACCACTCTCCGTCTTTTTTATTTCCGTATAACCTATAAAGGGGAATAGGAAGAGTGGTTTTCATGTACGCCCAATGTATGAAATATTGTTAACGTAATTTGTTTCGTTCGTCATTTACTTCGGCATATACGTTTATGTTGTTTTTTGTTAGAGAGTTTAATTACATCCGGTTTAGTGACAGACCGGAATTTGAAGGTTTATTCTGTAGGAGTACCGGTTATGAACAAATTGTTAATAATTACCATGTACAATATTCTTCCATTAGAAATAGAAAGTGGTTTGAGCTGAGGGATTCGTTGATACAAGAAAGCGGATAGTGTTATAGTATCTATTGATGTTATTTTAATCAGGTTTTATTCTGTAGTTATTTAATCCTACTCAATGTTTTTTTCTAGTATTTCCTGATTGAATTCTGGGTTTTATTACCTAAGGAAATTGAAATCTGGAATCATCCTCAAGTCTTTTGTAGTCACTTTGATTCTCGATCAGTTCAACATTTTAGCTTCTACTTACAATGATTGTCAAGAATTGATTTTTCCCGCACTTTAATTTGATTTAATTTTTAACGCTGGGGCAAATTGACAGTGTATTTTGTTAAAGATGGTTTCAAGAAGTACATTTAAAGATTAGTTTTAGTCTGTGATTGGTAAAATGACACGAAGCTCACCTCGGTGTGCTTTAATTGATGAATTTGAATATTGTAGTTGAAGTCTGTACGACACAGATAAAGAGGATTTTGCTTCTCATTATCGTCAGGAAAAGATGTTTTGTTAATGATGCGTTGAGATTGTAGGTCTCGAAACTATGTAAAAGAGAAATTATTCCATACAAACAGGAGTAACTATACACAAACAGGAGTAACTATACTCAAACAGGAGTAACTATACACAAACAGTAGTAACTAATCTTTATCACATTTTACCGTTCAAAGTTGTTCGCATTCATTTGGCTAATAAGATATAGCAGAATGGTACATAAAACTTCATTGATTGTGAGCCTAAAGATTGTAAAGTTAATGTTACTAACTGATATCACTTGAGTGTCAAATAAACAGTTACACGGGCTTTTAATTGAACTGTCAGTAGGCAAATAACGAATATTTATAGCTAAGAACATTCTCCCCGTGGCTGTCTAATTAGTTCATCAATATAAAAAGTATAGAAACAGTCTTCAGATGGCCATTCTTATTACATTATACAGATTATAGTATAGACTTAAGAGCACTTGGAGATTACTTGAAGAATTACCACGAACTGCTTGATATCAAAATAATTTTTTGAGGTCTTTCCCCTTATTTGTCCAAGTCTAAGCAATATGCCTGTAACGTGCTTCATGTTATAACCTACCAGACACGCCAATAAACAAATGGTCTGCCAGCACGCCAGTTACTAGTACAACGATTATTAAAACGATTGGGCGTACTGGATAATTCAAAAATTAATTTTGCAAAGTTGTTATGATAAACGGTCATAACAGTCACATTGTCATAGAATCCCATATGATTTTGAGCTCTTTAGGAATAATTTACCATAACCAGACAAACGTTTTATACAGTGATGTTGTTAGTAAACTTCAAATTTTTTATCTTTCAGGATTTAAAACTACGTTAGCCTATGAAAAATGTCTGGAAAATCAGAGTAATTCTACAAACGGCGGTTTAAATTCTTCAGTTATCTGTGATTTTAAAAAGTTATTGGAAGAGGTATGTGGTGGGTATTGATAAAATGATTATTTATTACTAATAGAGTCTGGGTTGTAATTAAACAGTATTCTATCTGTATAACTCTTATTGATTTCTTATAGGTCATTCTTTAACTTTGTAACCTTCCCTTCTTATTGTAGCGATCACTGGACAGACCATCTCCATTATCGTATTTGTCTCGTGCGTGCTCAAATCAGGTAGATCGAACACACTGAATTCATGACCTATGTTGGATATGTTCATTTCAAGATTCAAAAATTGTTTTTATTCTGAAAAAATAATTCTGGATTGCTGGTATTGCATAATCTCTTGCATAAACTGCTGTCGTTTCATAATATAAGGCGTTATTTCTGGTCTGTAATTGTTATTCAACACTCAACACCCATTAGTATAATAACAAGATATACAACATTAAGATAGGATTTGATAAGGGGTCATAATGATGACTTTCACCATTCACCAATGTCATATATTTCCATAAAAGCTTTCTCGAAATAGACAAATGAGTTTGAGGAAGGTCCAAAAGTTTGACGAATCGCTATAACGCAAGTGACTGTAGAAAACTATTAAGATACACGCCTTTTATTCGCCCACATGGAAATGTGGACGTATATTGCCGTCGCCCTGTCCGCCCGTCCGTCGATCGGTCCGTTCACATTTCTAGTAGACACGATCGACCCTAGTTTTTATCTGGGTTATCTCCGTCTACTTATTCAAATTTGGTTCGTATGCACGATAGAGACCACAGTTTTTATCCGATCGTGCAGGAACTTGTTATGGATCTATATATTGAGATCTCGGTTAAGTTTGAAATTGGTAATAATTGGATGAACGGTTTTAGAGTTATTTCCCTTGTGTGTACGTCGATGATACCTTATTCATGTAAGAATTTGTTGATAATTTGATGAACCATTTTTGAGGTTTTGATTTGACTTATAAATGTTTTTAAGATTGTTTGAAAATTCATTATTAAGCCACTAAAGTCTTTGTTATCATTTCTGACAGCTGGAAGTGGGTGTATGTTTCCTTGCCTGGTAAGCTATCTTCCTAAAAATGTAGGACTTAAATCAAATGCCTGAATAACTTGGCAATGTTACCTATCATGTACAACGTACAAGTCTAAAAATTACAAACAAAAATTTACAGCCATTTATACCATATTTGTCACTGCTTTGAAATACAGTACATCTATCCAGAATGATAAGTTTCGACAGCCAATAATCTTCTCCTACCAGAGTAATCCTTATTACACCATTGCGAAATATATTGAGTGGGAGGGAGACGAATTTCTGTTATCCCTAAATTATATCATAGTAAGTACATAATTACAATATTGATCTTTATAATTAATAGTCAGATGTAACCTTCTATAATCCTTCTATCATAACACACGATCGTCTCTTTCTTATATTACAGTCGGCTTCCGGCACTGGATTAGCCTTTATAGCATTTACTGAAGCTATAAACCAATTTCCAGTAGCTCCATTATGGGCTGTACTGTTTTTTCTGATGTTATTCACTCTGGGTTTGGACAGTATGTTTGGTACTCTAGAAGGAGCTCTAACCTCTATCTATGATATGATATTATTTCGACATGTTCGTAAAGAAATTGTTTGTGGTACGTGTGATATATTGATTTTTATGATTCAATAACAAAGTATTGTCACCTTATATTCCCTAAAGGAATGAATCAATTATCAAACATCGTGTTTTCTCCTGATACTCTGTAGTCTGTCCACGTAAAGAAACAATCCAATAGAAAGATAGATTGAGTCGCAAAGTGATTGATAGCAATTTGATTTGGGGCGTTGTTATTATCTTTCTAAGTGAAACATATTTCTGGTTTTTCTACGACTAATAACTAATAAAGTTTATGGAACTAACTGAAATATAAACAGAATGCAAGGATGCTCTTAGCACAATATCACCAATCTCATTTTAGTAAATTTTTGTTCGGTTTTGGTGGCCTCTACTACTTATCGTAAAGGATATTCATGATAAAAATACATCGAAAAAAACCCTTTGAATGTGACTGAAACGCACAGATGCTAAATAAGTAAACAATTAATTTGGTCAATAAGCCATCAAAATCCACCCTGAAATATCCCAATTAACTTACAGTGTTTTTCATTTACAGGTGTCGTGTGCTTTTTCTCACTGATAGTCGCATTATGTTTTGCTACCAACACAGGACCATATGTTTTCTCATTATTTGATTCATTCTCAGCTAATATACCATTATTGATAATAGCTTTTATGGAATGTGTATCTATATCATACGTGTATGGTTTACAACAGTAAGTGATTAAATTTCCCTCGTTGGTATATATCTTGCAAAACTATCCTCACGGCACACAACATGTCTTCAGTAGGCCGATCGGGAAAAGGTAATACTGTTTATTTGAAACAATGATGGTTATGGATGTTTATCATCGTTACTTTGTATAGCCATTGACGGCACTGTTATGTTACTTAATGAACAGTAGAACAATCATAATCCTGCTCCGAAATTTTGGATTAATAGAAACAGGTACTATAAGCTGAGAATCAAAAAGTAGTTAATGTATCATTCTGGTTTCAGACTAAGCGAGGACATAGAGCTTATGTTGGGTACACGACCATCTTATTTTTTCCTGTTTGCTTGGAGATATATGGCACCAGTTGCTATGGTTGTGATATTTACAGCTAGTTTAATTGAGATATTTTCAAACGGTATCAACTACGAAACTTGGAATTCAGATTTGGTTTGTATATATTTGTTCTCTTCTTTGGAAATCAGATTATGCTATATTTTTCCAATAGAGAATAGTCTCTTACAGATAAACGTTTTTTTTTTGCAAATACATATACATGTACTCTTGTATTTGTCCAAAAATGAAACAGTCGTATTCGTGAATGTATAGACTCTATTCATATTTTTTTTTCTCCAGGGTATCGTCGAATCACGCCCTTGGCCAGGATGGTGTCAGTTATGTGCAGTCTGTCTTATACTGAGTTCTGTACTTTGGATTCCGGCAGTGGCTATTGGCAAATACTTCAAATTCATTGAATACAAAGAAGAAACTCCAGCCTTCTTCCCGACGGAAGAACTTAGGGAGGAGCACAACATCGTGCCTCAACAAACAACTTTCATCGAGAAAACATTCTTTTAAAGAATGAATTGTATAAATTATACTTAAGTGTTGAGAAAAGAGATAACTTAAGTGCATAAACAGATAACGTAAGTGCATAAACAGCTAACGATAACGCATAAACAGATAACTTAAGTATATATACAGATAACTTCAGTGTATAAACTATGTATGGAATTGACAGTTAGGAAAGTTTAAGTGTTTACCGCTCTAGGTAATCATTGGTTAGTGCTTAAAGCTTGTGTCACATCCTGCTATCAAGGCAAAGGAATATCTACTCTGATTTAGAAGTTTAGAATAGACGGCGTGTATACCTAGAAATAGCCGCTTCAGTAAAAATTCACCCTTCAGGGCAACTACATAAATAAGTGGATTTGTGGAAACGTTTGTAAATGTAATTCTTATTTCTGTGAATGTTAGATGTACCTAAAAATGTTATTTAGACTCTCATTTCGGAATGCAGAGTAGTATTTTGTTCATTTCATCCTAGATGTGAATGAACGATCACATATCATTACGCCTATTCATAGGAAACTGTCATCAGGCATGGTAACCTCGTATGAATTACATTAAGGTGTTAATCGAAATTGTTTTTGAATATATGTATGATCACTCTCCATCTTGGCAAATAGTGGCCAATGCATTTATTTGTGGAGTGTACTTATTTTTCTGGCAAATATGGATATTATTAGCGTCACATAAAACTTATTCTTGTTTACGTAGAGTAGCGTCACGCCTAACGGGGTAGCATCACGCAAAAATCTTGTTCCCATTTATGTGAATGTGTGTATTATCTAGATGAATCGTCACACCCAATAGACGTTTATATTTATGTAGCGTCACGCACGTTACCTTTTTGTGGATCTAGTAACACCCTACATTGTGGTTTATGTTTATGTTATGTAATGTCACACTCAGTATTATTTATACTTTTGTGGATGTGGCGTCACACTTAATTCCATAAAAATATACTATATGGTTTTTCAATTTATGCATGTATAATTCATTTGTAACATTGCTAAAACACTTTACAGAATATTTCATTATATATGTGCAAAGGTGACACAAAGTAAATTAAATATGTGAAAATGAGATCAAAATCGTAACGTATGTAAATAAGATGATGAATGTCACATTAGTTATTGGTTATATGAATGTGAAAATAATATCACATCAAGTTGTGTTCAATTTTGCAATCCTGTAATTTATACATAGTTGTGTAAATATACAGATATCGTTATTGTGTTGTGTATAAATGTAAAATATTAAATTATTTTAGCAACTTATAATGTATTATTTTACAAGACATCAAATTGGATTAATGCACAGATTAATCAAAGCAAATTTCTTCGCAAAAGCACTTTGTGGTTATCAAACGATTTCTACAGTGGTTTTGAACTACAATATTTCCAATACTAAACCAAAAACGTATTTGAATGGTAAAGGAATGAAAGTTTTACGTACATAAATGAACCATAATACAAATTTTTTTCAAAAACTAGAAATAGAATTATAATCATAAATAACAACTTTCAAATATTATTAAAGGAATAACAACTTGTGATAGCGTTAATAAATACATACATTATACAAAGATATTCTAAAAACAGAATCCGATTTCTAAAATTCAAATATTACTATTTTGAGGTAGGCTCTTATTTGACATTAGACTTACTAGTTACTGGATAATCTAGTTTGATTTCCAAATATCTGGGTAATCTTGTCATTAAAAGGATTAACAGGTCCGAGAAAATCAGCATGGTTCTTCAACATGTTGTCCCATAAAACTTGAGCTGTTAAAGCTTGAGCAACCTGGATATAGATTTTAAAGGTTAATAAAGCTGAAATAATGCTCAAAAATAATGCTTTAAACTCAATTTGACTACTGAGATGGACCTTTTCAATATTTGCAGCCCAATCTTTCATCTCTTATGAGCTTAAATATTGTTTAATATTTGAAGCTCAATCTTTGAATACTGTGAAAATCTTTCACTTTTTTCGTCCGTAACTTCAAGTCTTTTTTTCCTTTACCTGGTTAGTATGAAAACCATCAACTGGTTCTATCAACTGCCAACCACTTCCCCCTTGTTTTTTCCAAATATCGAATACTACAATTACAAATAGAGAATAGAGAATTTTTCTTTACAAATGAATAGGCCAAATGATGACATAATATTGACGTCATCGAATAAATATTTCAATACTCAATTACAATATTAGTAAT